GTGTGTGTGTGTGTGTGTGTTGCGTCCATGCATATGCTTTGCACTGGCTCAAAACTTGACATGCTCCTCTCCTCGATTTCACATCTTATTGTCTGTCATCAATCCGAGGCCTGTAACCCCTGTGGTAATAACCGAACCACCGAGATACATTCAAGTGCAACAATGTGTGGGTGTTGAATCTCACAAAGAGGTTATGAATAAGTCTGCCCTGACTAGTGGCAGTGCTTTGGAGAATATCACTCTGTGCGCTCCCACTGTATGACAGCTAATTGAAGCTTCCCCTTGGGCTGAGTGCAGCACAGACATAATAATCAAGGATCCTGTCCTGGATTCGATATATAGCCCGAACGTGGGATTTGCTTCTTTTGTCATAATCAAAGGAACGTCGCACAGGGAAAGTTCAGGAGTGTCAAGGCATGTGTTGCCACAATGGAAAACAGAACTATTTGCTTAATGTTATGAATCTGAAAAGTTCTGGAAAGGCCTGCTGCAGCACCGCCAACAGATCGATAGCCATCCCTCACTCGGCTCTGCTTGCTCTGCTTAAAAAAACCATCCACTTAGACATCTCTGTGAAGAAGTGACTACCTGAGAAGAGTGTCCATTTTAATGCCTTTGGGTTAATTCCTCCTAGCGTTCATTGGATTAAATTAGACCAGTCTATGGCATAACGGTAATGAGATTATTGTGTTTCTGGTAGGATTACGGGATGACAAGCTACGTACACGGGAGCAGCAGTGGTCAGAGGGGCTGCATTGTTTATGCACGGATCTCTGTGGGAAGTGTAGCCTACATCCACATTAGCCTCGTTTTCACACTGGAAAGCGGATTAGTTTGCATCATAAACATGACATGAAACCTCCAAACTGGATTAATTGAGCCATTTTAAATAATGCGTTTTCTTCCCAGTACTGCTCATTAACGAAGCTCTGATGGCGTCCAATCAGAGCAGCAAGAGTTTTATTGGGGGTTTTTTTCGTAGCTAACTGATTCTTTGGTTTTTTTCAATCCACCCCGCAGCCCTTTCCGTAAGCCACAGGGTCGTCCCTCTCAAACGGAAACCCCTCAGTTCTAGCTCTATATCAACAAGAGTCCAACATTAATTATATTCCCAGCTTTGCTGTTGACAGCAGGCACCATCAGAGAATAAAAAGATTGCGGGCGTTTTAACTAGCGCGTAAACCCCAACATCACAGCAATTTTTTTTTGTTTTTGCATGTAGTCCTGTTGAATGAGAGTATAGACGAGATACAGTTGTTAGTTGACATGCAAAAGGAATGTGCTTGGATTACAGCAGATGCCTCTTTGATTTATTGGCTGTAGTGGTGAGCCCTTTATCTCGAATCACGCTGCCGAACAGCAATTCATTTTCATTTCATTTCTGTCTGGATCCTAAACCTCCCACCCACAGAGACTGGGATTTTTAGCCTTATCATCTTTCATACTTTGGAAATGAGAAACCCATAAAGGGGCCCCACAGTTTCTTGGGAGCCTTGTGGAAGTTTGCCAAGCAACTCTGACCCAGACATTTATGAAGAAACAACGATAATCATTTTAACACTGCGTTGACACACATTCGTTTCCTTTAGACCGAGCCGCAGCATTGATTGCCACAGCTTGTAAAGTCAACCAGGAATCTGCAAAACTTGCTTTCACGTCTCTGATTCTTCTCAGTGAGTCTTAAAAAAGAGAAAGAAAGAAAAAAAAGGGCTATAGCAATAAAAGGATATTGGTGCAGAATAGAGACAAACATTTCTCCCAGCCAGCTAAATGCTGGTGCTGAAAGGACACTAAGCACAGGTTGTCTCTCAACTGCTGTGACAGGCTGTGCAGCCAAGAATTTCACTGTGTTGAGTAAAAGGATACAGGTAGGGGAGAAGGGACAAGAGAAGGGGGGATGCTGAGGTGAAGCCAGCCGACCAGCCAGCCAAATCTGCCGTCAGCTCAGTGTCAAAACAGCCAGTCAGCTGTGTACACCTTCATCTCACCTGCTTGTGCGTGTGTGTTTGTGTGTATGCCGTCCTATAGCCTCCCTCAACAGGAGGGAGCACAGAGAGTCATCTCCTCTGGTCAATAGAGCCTAATTCTCCACAGGTGGCAGCCAGCCTCAAAGACGATTCCCTTCAGCTCCACTGTGCTGAAGCTTCTGATCCACACGATGGGCCTTTGGTGATGGAAGAATTGGTGTGTGTGTGTGTGTGTGTGTGTGTGTGTGTGTGTGTGTGTGTGTGTGTGTGTGTGTGAGGGTTGAGTCAGATAAGAGGCGATAGATATGGAGATGTCATTGCCAGGGGTTCACCAGAACGCCGAAAATGTCTTCTTATTGACCCCACTCTTATTGAATTTTCCCGTCATCGCCCTTTGTTTCTCCGCTTCTCTTGCCTCACCCCTTCCACCTCAGATTATCTCCTCGTTCTCACTTTCTGCCTCGTCTCTACCTTCACCTGTTATTTCACAAGGTGTTGCGGCACCGACAGCAACTGTGCTCAACCCCGGCAGTGTAACAGCACCTCTTCGCATTTTCTGCATGCTCTATAGGCAGCCTAATGGAGGAAATCAAAGTACTCAAATGCGATTAGATCGCATAACGTTCAGAGCTCCTTTTGATTGATTCGTTTTTTTTCTGTTAAATTCAACCAACAAATATGTTTTTTCCGAGGTGGTTGTTCTGCTTTCTTTTTGCACTTGCAGATTTATATCAAATAGTCAGTGTTTATCAACATTTCATCTATAAAGCTCCCTTATGTTCAACTTTTATGAAATGTAATTACAGCGTTACTCTCACTCCTCCAGTGTATCACATGAAAAATGTCTTCATAGTTTTTCCTTAGTGGCTCATGTTAAATGTAAGGACTGCACTATTTTTCTCCTTTCCTGGGACTGAAACATATTGTTTTTGCCCGGGGCATTGGAAGAGTTACTGCACACCTGTTTTATCAGAGTATGAGTTGTAGGGAGAAACAACTGTAAAATGAATGTTCTGGCACCATGGCTGCACATACAGGTTCCGTGTTGCTCTAGTGAAATTTAATCAGCCATGCCACAAAATCTTCCAGGCAAGAATGATTGCCAGGCAGGAGGATGTTACTGTAATTATTGTCTTGTTCGCTTCAGACTGAGTGCCTTGGATAAGCCATAGTCAACGGGAAAGCAAATACGCTTGTTGCACAAAGCACTTAGTGGCAATTTACACAACAGGGTACTTGGATGTATAAGCATTACAGCGTCGAACGTGTTGAGGAAAAAAATGGGAATGTTGCTTACAGGGGGCGCCGTTAAGGTTTAGTTGTACATGAAGACTTCTGCCCACCAGAAGGTCAAGCTTTGAAAAGCTGCCAGGTTGAATATTCTTAGCAAATCCTCGGTATTATGTGTTTTGCACAACAGGGGTGCCACACTAATGAGCTGACCTCACACAGCAACCGCAGGTCAACTTACCATTTGGTTATTATTTTTATTCACAGCACTGCGTCGTGTTTTCGGAGGCTGAGAAACACTAAATGTATCCCAGTGAGATCCAGACTCGTCGTGTTCTCCCCCAACCCCATCCAACCCAGCGCAGATCACACAGCGGCGCTCCACCCAAATATTGACTTCTGTTTTTTCTCTCCCGTTGCACAGCACCGCCGTTTTCAGAAGTCACCACGACTCCGCCTACGAAAACGACAACCACCACAACAACAACCACGGTGCACTGGGGTGTGGACAACAATACCACCACAACAGGGTACAAGGAGCGCAGCAGGGGAGCGCCCAGGCCACGTCCTGTAATCCCACAGACTCCTTCCCCTCCGCCCCTGGAGTCCTTCCCTTTACCTGAACGCTTCTGCAAGGCAATTGAGAAAAGAGACATAATGTGGCCTCAGACCCAGAGGGGCATGCTTGTTGAGCGACCTTGTCCCAAGGGAACACGAGGTAAACAGGGCCGTCTTTCCTTCTCTCTCTCTCATCTCAGGGCCGACTGCTCGCTGCGTTCAATATGACCCGACAGCTCTCGAGAGAACATCCCCGTGTTTGTTAGATATTCCTTTTTTCTCTAATTATAAAAGATTTAACCTAAAGGAATCAGCAGTGGCTGTTAGCGTAAGCAGTCTCTGACTGACTGAGGCTCAGCTGTTTGTGTGTTCCTCATTTGATTGTATATGAACTCATGTCACTTTGTAGCAATAACAGGCTAACAAAATTAGTTTTCTGTACATTGTCTCGATAGACAAAGTGGGGAAAACTAAAAAGAAACATCTGCTCAGGCTTATGTTGTCATGTGCACAAAAAATGTTTTGGATTCATATATGTTCTACATATAAATACTCAATTTGCATGATTGTGTTGCTTGTGTGCAATTTCTTCCTTTGATCTCTGCTTCTGCCTTTGTTGTTCAGTGAGCAGCCTCATAAAAAATATGTATTTGATTTGAGTTGATTCAACTTGACTGTTCTCTTCTTGTTTGTTTTCTTGGTTTTTTTCTGTCAGGCACAGCATCTTATTTATGTGTACTTTCCACCGGGGACTGGCACCCAAAGGGCCCTGATCTCAGCAACTGCACCTCCCACTGGGTCAACCAAGTAGCCCAGAAGGTTTGTATGAGCTCTGCCTCGCTGTTTTCCATCTAAGTGTTTTTCTTAAAATAAGGAGTAGACAAAAATAATGTGTTCCTGTAAAGGACGTCAACTGCAAAAGTAAATTATTCACTGGAAAAAAAATATAAACATGGAAGCAAATCTGGGTCAGAATCACTCGAAAGCTGGATGACAAAAAGGGCTGATGTGTCCTATATTTTTGGTTTTATACAGGCAGTGCAGAATTATTAGGCAAATGAGTATTTTGTCCACATCATCCTCTTCATGCATGTTGTCTTACTCCAAGCTGTATAGGCTCGAAAGCCTACTACCAATTAAGCATATTAGGTGATGTGCATCTCTGTAATGAGAAGGGGTGTGGTCTAATGACATCAACACCCTATATCAGGTGTGCATAATTATTAGGCAACGTCCTTTCCTTTGGCAAAATGGGTCAAAAGAAGGACTTGACAGGCTCAGAAAAGTCAAAAATAGTGAGATATCTTGCAGAGGGATGCAGCAGTCTCAAAATTGCAAAGCTTCTGAAGCGTGATCATCGAACAATCAAGCGTTTCATTCAAAATAGTCAACAGGGTCGCAAGAAGCGTGTGGAAAAACCAAGGCGCAAAATAACTGCCCATGAACTGAGAAAAGTCAAGCGTGCAGCTGCCAAGATGCCACTTGCCACCAGTTTGGCCATATTTCAGAGCTGCAACATCACTGGAGTGCCCAAAAGCACAAGGTGTGCAATACTCAGAGACATGGCCAAGGTAAGAAAGGCTGAAAGACGACCACCACTGAACAAGACACACAAGCTGAAACGTCAAGACTGGGCCAAGAAATATCTCAAGACTGGTTTTTCTAAGGTTTTATGGACTGATGAAATGAGAGTGAGTCTTGATGGGCCAGATGGATGGGCCCGTGGCTGGATTGGTAAAGGGCAGAGAGCTCCAGTCCGACTCAGACGCCAGCAAGGTGGAGGTGGAGTACTGGTTTGGGCTGGTATCATCAAAGATGAGCTTGTGGGGCCTTTTCGGGTTGAGGATGGAGTCAAGCTCAACTCCCAGTCCTACTGCCAGTTTCTGGAAGACACCTTCTTCAAGCAGTGGTACAGGAAGAAGTCTGCATCCTTCAAGAAAAACATGATTTTCATGCAGGACAATGCTCCATCACACGCGTCCAAGTACTCCACAGCGTGGCTGGCAAGAAAGGGTATAAAAGAAGAAAAACTAATGACATGGCCTCCTTGTTCACCTGATCTGAACCCCATTGAGAACCTGTGGTCCATCATCAAATGTGAGATTTACAAGGAGGGGAAACAGTACACCTCTCTGAACAGTGTCTGGGAGGCTGTGGTTGCTGCTGCACGCAATGTTGATGGTGAACAGATCAAAACACTGACAGAATCCATGGATGGCAGGCTTTTGAGTGTCCTTGCAAAGAAAGGTGGCTATATTGGTCGCTGATTTGTTTTTGTTTTGTTTTTGAATGTCAGAAATGTATATTTGTGAATGTGGAGATGTTATATTGGTTTCACTGGTAAAAATAAATAATTGAAATGGGTATATATTTGTTTTTTGTTAAGTTGCCTAATAATTATGCACAGTAATAGTCACCTGCACACACAGATATCCCCCTAAAATAGCTAAAACTAAAAACAAACTAAAAACTACTTCCACAAACATTCAGCTTTGATATTAATGAGTTTTTTGGGTTCATTGAGAACATGGTTGTTGTTCAATAATAACATTATTCCTCAAAAATACAACTTGCCTAATAATTCTGCACTCCCTGTAGAAGACGACTACAAAAAAAGAAAAAAGTGAAATATCTGAGTTAAAACAATCCAAATTTTGTGTTAACAAAGAAATCACACAAACTGCATTATACAGAGGGGCAGTAGGAAAGGCACCATACAGCTGCAGTGTGTATAACTGTGTATTTACATTTTAATGATTTTGATTTTACACTTTGGTTAGTGGTGTAGTGGTTAACACCTTCACCCAGTTTGAAACTGGGAGGTCAGAAGCTGGCCCATAAATAGGACGGTTGTATTAGGAAGAGCATCCGACATGTAATCTGTTCCAAATCCACCACGTGGACTCGTTTGCTTTGGCACCCGACTCGGAAATAAGGGACAAAAGTACCTGACATTGTGCCCTTTGATTAAAAGCCTTTTACCTTCTATAATCTGCACCATAGTCTTATTTTGCAAACCACTCTTTGTAGACTTGTTTTTTTCTTTTGCCTTAGCACACAATATAAAAAGAAAAAACTGCCACTATAGCAGCTTCTGCTGTGTGAAGAAAACATTAAACCCTCTTTTCATAACCGATATTTCAAGGACTCATTCAAGTGTGATTTTTATGTTAGAAACAGAGCCGCAAAGAGCCCTCCAAGTCTGTCTTTTCGTATTCTCATTCGCATTACTCACTCTCTCCCCATGCAGATCCGCAGCGGTGAAAACGCGGCTAACTTGGCCAATGAATTAGCCAAGCACACCAAAGGACCCATCTTTGCCGGGGACGTCAGCTCCTCAGTGCGCCTGATGGAGCAGCTGGTGGACATCCTGGATGCGCAGCTGCAGGAGCTCAGACCCAGCGAGAAGGATTCTGCAGGACGGAGCTTCAACAAGGTAACCAGATCCTCCACATATTAGCAGGGTATTAAAAATATTACCTCAAGTTTCTCCCCAGTTCCCTCTTACTGAATGACTCTGCATAACTTACATCGCTTTTATGCTTTACTGATAACTTAATACTTCTTTAATACAATAGCTGCGTTTTATTCGATTTTTTTCACCAGATTACGTCAGCAGTCTGCTTTTCTGTGCTTTTCACTTCAAGTTCAGCCGAGCTGGGAAACAAACAGAAAAGCAGTTCTGATTTTTGAGCAGATGTGTATTCAGTGTCATGAGTGTGATCCACGGTGCTTTCGTGCGTCAGACCGGTGCCATTTGAGACTGGTCGTTTTATCAGTTGGTTTTTCCATCCAGCGCTCACCCCTTTATTATTTCTACCAATTCTTTACTCAAGCTCGTGAACTTGTGCAAATTACATGTCTCTATTTTGTATCTGTTCTTTTCCTTCTCAAACAAAAAAAGCTCCAAAAGCGAGAAAGGACATGCAGGGCATACATGAAGGTACTGAAGCAAAGCTTCTGCCCACTCTGCTTGCAGCTGCTGTCCCCTCTATTCCTGTACTACCGTACTGTATATGCCCTAGCCCAAGTTCAGCAGCATGCACCCTCTCCACTGTCGTGTACACCCTCCTCCCTGTGCTTCCTGCTTTTTTGAGTAATTGCTTCACACAAAAACACAGTTGTATTCAAAGTGCTTCCTAAGTTAAAGAGAAGTCATCTCCAGTTACTTAGGTGGCTTCTTTTTGTAACTGTGTACGTGTCTTCTTTTTTTTCTCTCCTGTATGCATTGACAGCTATGGTGTATTTTGTTGTTTCTTCCGTTTGTCCATGTTATTATTTTCTGTGTTTACTCAAGACTGCACGCCTACATGAATAACAGCACAACTCAAGCAGACATCCTCTTCTTACATCCCCCTCATTATTCATTTGATGAAGGATTTGCTGCTTTGTAGTGATGTATCAAAACCCTTTCTACGGATCATTTCCTGACCATTCACAGCCTGCAAAGGGAAAGTCCACAAGGGCGCAGGTTTGAGGTCATTAAATTAATGCGTTTCATAAATTAAAGGTACAAATCTATAGCTCGAGCTGGTTAATAGGGTTAGTGCAGGTCAAACGCTTTTTTTTTTTCTTTCCCTTTCTTCCCCAAATGCTTTCACAGCGTTGGGTTCGCACATCAAAGTATTTTGGCTGTATATATATCCCCCCACCATCAGGGACATCAGTGTCCTCCACCTGCCACCAAAGTCACCCCCCTCAATCCATCTCTCCTTCGGGAGGGTGTTAAAATGGATCAAGCTAATTAGCCAGTCAACGGCCGTGCGCTGGTAAAGGAGGCAGGGAAACTGGAAAAAAGCAAAAAGCACATACGTAGTCATATCGCCGCCGCCGCGTCGCATCATCGTTTCGCTTTTTAAAGTCAAAACATTTCGATTTGACTTCCGAGAGGTTATGTCGATGTAAATTACAGCAGCATGAGAGAGGATCAGGGACAGGGATTGTTGAGTCATCAGTATCTGACATCTGACGCAACTTCACATTAGCCCCCCCACACACACCCCACCCTCTCCTCCAGCCGTCGCCAGCATTGATTACCTGATTAGACGCATTGATTTTATTATTTCCTGAAGAAAACCCTGCATCATTTATGCCCAATTTATCCTCCGTGTTTCCTGAGCTTTTAGATGGCAAAAAAGATGTAAGGTAAAAAAAAACAAGGTTTGCATTCACGGGACAAACAACAGTTTAGCAAACTGCACACTTTTGGTTGACTTTTCGAGTGCCTTTGCAGGGCGGCTTAATTACTTGTTCTACAGTAAAGTGTGTGAAGAAAAGGAAAGTTGCTGCCCACTGAACTTTCCAATTAGAGAGCTTTAATTGAGATCAGCCACGGAGACTTTGGCTTTCACCAGGCCGTCTCTTAATATCCTGTTATCAGACAGACGTGATAGGCTCAGTGCACTGTGACCCAGAGCATCGACGCAACATCCTTGAAAAAGAGGCCGAGCATCGCTGAAGCGCCTCTTCTCCCCCGCTCTTTTAGCAGTTCTTCCTTCATTAACATCACATTAAAAACATTTTTTATTGTTTTTATTTTGAAATGTGTTGCAAGTATATGTTTACATTACATATACACCTGAGAAACAGACGTCCTTTCAGCTTCCTCACTTTTGTCCATTTCACTCCTAACGACGTGACACTCCAGCACAGCGTTTCACTAACTCACATCAGCGTCTGCATGTCACAGCTCATCCACGGAAAATGTCACTTGTTTCCAGACACTCAAGAACCTTTGTTTTCTGTGGATTTGTTTCGGTTATCTGCTTTAATACAGGCCATCGTGGACACGGTGGATAACCTTCTGCGACCAGAGGCGCTCAAATCCTGGCAGGACATGAACAGCACCGAGCAAACTCACGCAGCCACCATGTTACTGGATACTTTGGAGGAAGGGGCCTTCGTCCTCGCCGACAACCTCATGGAACCGGCTATTGTCAAAGTCCCAGCAGATAATATAAGTGAGTAAAGCCGAGTTTGCGGTAAGCAAATGACAAGCGTCCGTGATTGATGTGCGCCTCGGCTAATTTGATTACGCTCAGTTCATTGAAAGAGTAACTCCTGTGATGGCAACACAAGGCCGCCTCATAAAAAAGGACTTTGTTTTCATAATAAGGGTTTAAACCTCGGGGGAAGTGAAAAACAAGGCGTATTAGGTTTAACAAGTCGCTTACTGACAAAGTGATGAATATCAGACAATTAAATAGACTGGATTCTCTGATTGCGCACGCTTACTTTATAAATGTGTGCGTCTAGACCTTGTAACTCTATACACTAATGTGAACATTAGCCTGCTGTGCAGGCAGAAAAAAGGACATTGTTTATCCAAAGCTCCTCTTCCTTCGCTCATTTTCTTCAGCTGATAGACCGTACGAGAGAGTCCTTTGGTTTCTCTCAGCACCGTTTTATTCATATTAGTGGGAGCACCACTGGGATGAAACAATCACTGTGTGAGTGACGCTTTTATTGCGTGGCGCACTGTCACTAACATTTAGAAATGTTTAAACAGCTCGTGTAGAAATGTCAGGAAGAAATCGTCTTCCCTTCTGCTTTTTTTCTTTTTTGTCTCTTTGAAACAGTCTGAATTGACCGATTTTCGGTTTTTTTGTTGTCGTTCTCTGACTCATCCCCTGCCTCTCTGCTCTTGGCAGTCCTGGAAGTGTATGTTCTCAGCACGGATGGCCAGGTCCAGGATTTCAAATTTCCACAGATCGGCAAAAGCGGCATCTCAATCCAGCTCTCAGCCAATACTGTTAAGCTCAACAGTCGGAATGGTGAGTTAAAAAAGCAACGATAGCGAGAGGAGCTCGGTCAAAGTTAACTCTGGTAACTCAGAGACAAACAAAAGGGATTCTTTAGCGCAGGAGAAACTGTGAAATGGATTCATTTTCAAGAGACTGAGTGCAGTTTATCTCAAAAACTCCACAAAGCTCTGCAATTTTAAACCTACAAATAAGGCCATTTGTAGCAAATATATCTCACTTCTCTCATCCATGCAGATAATTGCTTGAATAATTTAAATTCAGCTACATTGAAATAGATGGAGTCAGTTTTAGAGCTTTCTCATCCTCTGGTCTTCTGCATATTTTGTCTTCACTTCTTTTAGGCCCCTGTTGTTTTAATTGCGTCGCTCTTTCCCTAATCTGGTGTTTCTTTAAATCTTTCGCTCCGCAGGAGTTGCCAAACTGGTTTTCATGCTCTACAAAAACCTGAGCCAGTTCCTCAGCACAGAAAACGCCACCATCAAGATGGACAATGACGCCTACGCCCGCAACGTCTCGGTAGCCGTCAACTCGGACATCATCGCCGCCTCAATCAACAAAGAGTCTAGCCGCGTGTTCATTAATGACCCCGTGATTTTTACCCTGGAGCACATTGATGTAAGTCCGCCTGCAGGAACAAATGGACGGGCCATATTAAAAACACCAGGAGGGAAGATCTAGAGTAGACGGAGATGTGCAATTTGAATTGTAAATGTCTGGCTAGGTCAGTCGGCAGTTTATTTAAGTCATTGAACATCAAATTAAAGGAGTCTTTAGAACCTAAGTGAATTCTTAATGAAAACTAATTCTTTAATCAACATTGGGATATAAATGATACCCATTTTCTTTTATAGTGAGGGAAATTAACTCCTAGATTAGCCCTACAATCTAGGATGAAATTACTGGAGCACCAATTATCTTTCGTCTTTTAAAGTTGTCACTAGAGTTCCCAGAGGGCCGCGCGTGACTCCATTCTTTATCAGAGAAATTGTGCAATTCCAAAGACATGCCGTCAAACAATTATGCTTCTCTGTTATTAAGGCCTCGTATACGCGACCATGCTTCGGTTGATTTGGCAAGCATGTGCCAAATGAGATACAACATATGAATTGCTTCATAAGAGCTGTGAAGTGAAAAATCCTCATCCATATCAGTGCAGAAAAATACTTTCTGTGAGTGGGGGGTAAATGGCCTCTGTGTTCTACATGTGCTTCAATTTCAGGAAGTCAATTATTTGGACACTTAACCATATCTCTTGTTATCTGCAGATGGAGCACTACTTCAACTCCAATTGCTCCTTCTGGAATTACTCTGAGAGAAGCATGATGGGCTACTGGTCCACCCAAGGCTGCAAACTCCTGGACTCCAATAAAACACACACCACCTGCTCATGCAGCCATCTCACCAACTTTGCCATCCTCATGGCACACCGTGAAACCTCGGTATGTCCAGTCATCTTTCGTGCCCACCCGTAGCATTGGAGGATTTTTGATTAAATCAAGATCAGACCCTTAACATTTTAGTTTCCAGGCTTGAATATTAAAGCAGCTAAAGATTGCAGCTATCACGGTGCGGTTTAATGAGTCGATCTGTGCGTACTGGGTTGTTTTTGCCAGACTTTTTTCATCTTTCAGCTTGATTTGAGTGCATCTTCTCCAACACGTAATGCTAATTTTACACCCAGAAGCAAACGATAATGAAATAACCACAATTATTGAAAGAGAAAGATTTTTTTAATCAATATCATCACCATGGGCGCCCGCAGATATGTCATGGGATAGGGATGTAGTCCCAAAATATGAAATTGGTTACTCTGTGTCCTTTTGTTGCTCCTGATTTATCTCATTATGCTGGAATGTACATGTAAGCAGTTATTTCTTCGTTTTAGTCCTCAATTATCAAATCTAAAAGGGGAGGCTACCGTTATTTCCCTCAGAGCTTCACACGACCCTCTTTGTCATTTCGCCCTTTCGCTTCAGGCCAGCAGTGAAGTGCACGAGCTGCTCCTGACCGTCATCACTCGCGTCGGCATCGTGGTGTCCCTCGTCTGCCTCATGATCAGCATCTTCACCTTCTGTTTCTTCCGGGGCCTGCAGAGCGATCGCAACACCATCCACAAGAACTTGTGCATTAATCTCTTCATTGCAGAGTTAATATTCCTAATTGGTATCGATATGACGGAACCCAGGGTAAGCCGGAATGATTTCACCCTATTGATTTGGTTTTGATTCATCCTCTCTCTCCTTATCGCCTCTCAGCCCTCACACAAAAGACCCTTCCAGAGTAAAATGGATAAGACTTTAAGCATTGTTTGTTTCTAGCCTTCCCCACTTGTCCCTGACATGACACGAGTGGAACAGCACCATCAATATAGCTTACTAAAGGGACATGTCTTCCGCTTGATGGGTCTTTTTCCCTCTTTCCTTTGAAGCTGCAGCGACGATTGCTGAGCAACGGCAGCTTTTTTCTGTCTTTTTTCACAGCTCCAAATAATTAAATCTCCTAACTCTAACCCCACAATACTAATGGCATTTAAATTTGTACTGTGCTGATGGAAAGCTAAACCTGTGCTTAGTCAGAGCCCATGTGGTGAATGAATATTCATTGTTTTTCTCTGCTGTTGAACGAGACGCCCTGAAACGACGACCTTTTCAGGGAGCTTCAATAAAAGATGGGGTACACAATGTACAATTTTCACTAAAAAAACAGCAACAACAACAAAAGTCAGATGGAAACGACACGTGTCATCTTGATGTCGAAAGATTATTTAATAAATTTCACTGTGTCTCCTTTGCATCTTGTTCTTTGATTGTCTGAATCTGTTGTTTTTCTGTCATTCTCAGATTGGCTGTGCCATCATTGCGGGGATCCTGCACTTCTTCTTCCTAGCTTCCTTCTCCTGGATGTGTCTTGAGGGAGTCCAGCTGTACCTCATGCTTGTAGAAGTCTTTGAGAGCGAATACTCGCGGAAAAAGTATTACTACGTGTCTGGTTACCTCTTCCCTGCCATCGTTGTCGGCGTCTCAGCAGCTATTGACTACAGGAGCTACGGGACCAAGAAAGCGTGAGTGCAGCTTCTTTTTTTCTCTCTCTCTGAAAACATTCTTGGAAATGCAGAGCAGACATGCTGGATGCTGCACTGTGTGGGCTTACCTGCTGTGGCTGCGTGTGGCAGATTTTGAAAAGAAATCCGCTCGTCATTTCTGCCAGCACCTTATGTGCATCCCTGGAGACTACACCAAAACATTTGAGCGCCTTTTGCCAGGGATGGGCAGCTGTTCAATTTTTTATGTCATTTGAAAGTGGCTGACAGACTCAACACTGTGGTTTCAGGGGAGGCTGCAGCTACATTAATGCCTTTCTGTTCAAAGACCCTCCTGTGACCTCTTGTTTGTAAATGCTGTCTTAAAGAGGAGAGCGCAGTGCAGGGGAAAAAAGCCTTTTACATAGATTAATGGCTATATCACAGCTAAGACGACGCTATTAAGAGGGGCTGCTCGGTTTGCTTCTTCTCCTGTTGTGTCCGGCCGTCTTCCTGCTCGTTTTGTGAAAGAGCTTTGAGTTAAGCACTGATAATAAAATACATCAGCCCAAGTAACCAAAAATGATTTCTTTCCATTTTTAGCCACAGGAGCACGATGTCGTTTTTGTGGTGTTTACTGCCTGGAGCTGATTTGTGTGTTTCTCTGACATAGGTGCTGGCTAAGTGTGGATAATCATTTCATATGGAGTTTTATAGGACCTGTCACCTGTATCATCATGGTAAGCTGTTTTCTTTTCTTTGAATACTCATACTGACAGAGTGAGGAAGGGACCGAGAGGGTGAGATGAAAGAGATGCAGGAGGAAGATAAAGGGAGCAAGATGGTTGAACTGAAGGGAAAAGTCAGCAGGATTTTTGCTCCAAGCCTTCCCGGTGATGACAGGTTAATTTTGCGCCACAGACAGATTACGAGGCGTCCGACGTTCCCCTCTGCCTCTCACTGCCTGACAAGGATCAGCCTTGATAGTGTACTTTAACCTCACTTTTACACAATTTCAGGAAGTCTCATATCACAGATATTACCTGATGACCTTCATGTGATGAAGGGAAAAAAATTATGTTAACAATTGGCTGAAATGGTCCATTTTACAGCGCACGTTGCAAGCCGGGGTAATGTTCATAGCTCTTTTTTGTATTTGTCTGCCTGTAAATAGCGGACGACTTTGTCAGGAAGACGGAGAGCAAAGGCATCCCTTCTGTTTGGTCAGGGTCCGCCAAGGGTGAAGGACATATAGCATATAATATTGACATATGTCCCATTGAGGCATGCAATTATTTACTGGTCATGACATTATTATCTCTCGCTCCATCAGAGAGGCTCAGAAGAATAAGACCTTCGGGAGTCTTACTTCCCTGCGCAGGACAAAAAAAAAAGAAATAGCAGGTGGTGTGCCTCACATATATCCTCTCAGCTTCCCACATCATGTATTGCTTTGCCCTCGTGCACACCGAGGGATAAGGAAGCTCTGCAGGCTCATCTTGCTGCTGTGTAGGGAGGATGGGTGGTATTTGTTCAGTACTGTGTTCATTATCCAAGCTAATGGTTGGTACTGTATCTACAGATGCAGTGACCTCTGCTGAACATCAAGCTGACACTGAAAATATACTAGAGAAAAGGGTCAGCCGTGTCAAATTCCATCGAGTCCCTGCACACTATTGGCAGACTGCTCCGAGTTGTCAAAGTAAAGATGCAGTAGCCGTACTCTTTGTCTGTGTGGCAGCAGAATAAGTAAAAGGCAAATCTGCACACTGGATTGCATTTCACAGCTTTCTCACAAACAGGCGTTGGCTTAGGAATGGAAGAAATGGTGCTCACTCGAAAAGGGTCTGCGCTGGATTGAAATGTCCCGGAGTAAATGCTGAAATGACTTTTTCTTGTTTTCAGTGATTTTCCTGTCTTTTTTCTTTCCTCCTCTCTGCCTCCCTGCTTTGAATGTGTGAGCTTATAATTGAGGAAAAGCTAACATTGTATTAAAGCAAACATACATTTCTCCCTGTCTCAGCAAATGCTCTGTCAGCCACACTGGAATATGTTTCCTTTCCCTAAATTGGACCCTCATTGTTTTCCAATCGAGTGTTGCTCTCATAATGATTTGCATGAAAAATATTTCTGCAGTGGAAATGATGATCGGGATCCCGGTGGTGATGACCGCAGAGATAGAATCATGACCCTGTGAGGAGCTAATGTATTGTAGCAGAGCTAATATGTGACAGGAATGAGGTTTTGCTGCACTGGGCCGGGCCTCGCACACCGCTCCTCTGATTCTGTGCAACAATTGACTCAAAAAGACAAAGTACTGTGGAAAGGGGCATCTCGGGGGAGCGTGCAGGAGCAAGGTTTGTCTGCACCATCCGTGACCCTGGTTTCTCTACAAATTGGCTTTGTCCTTGTCAATGAAAGACAGAGTTAGAAGGCGAAAAGGCACATGAACAGGAGAAAAGGAGAGAAAACAGTGCTGCTTTGGCTTATGTCTGGATCCCCACTTGTCACCCAGACCATGTTTGTGCCAAGTAACACCAGTTTTGACCTAGGGTGGTCATGTTTTGTTTTGTTTTTTCTCAGCCTTGTGCTTTCCCCCCTCATTTTTCCTGTTGTTTTTGCTGCCGGATGAAACGCTTCCTAAATACTGACTGAAAACAAAAGCTGAGAGCAGGCATTTAGATCCTTGTTCTTAGGCAGAGGTTGCCCTGCTTCTGGGCACAGGGGGTATTAGCTCCATGAAAGGAGGAACATGGAAGTAATGAGTGGTGGGGGGAGCCATTAGCATGCTTGAGATAACTTCAACACAAGGCCTTTTGGATCATGACACGTCGCGAGCAGTTCTTATCATCTGGACAGCTCCATCTGCACCTTTAATATTTTATCCCCAGCAGTTCATTTGGAGTTCAGTGTGTACACACACAGTCCGCTTCAGAAAAAGCTTTCTCCTCAGTCCCAGTGTGGCAAGGTGCTTCTGCATGGCTTGCAGTGATGATTCAGAGACAGAGTGAAGGATAGAGGCAAGACAGCTCCGCTCTAGCAAGAGGGATCCCCCGGGAGGGGCTGCGAAAGCATGTCGGTGGGGGTGGGAACATGTGCCATGCTGCTAGGTTACTTTAAAGTACCGTGTCCCTCTCCTCTGTCTCATTGGATCCATGTCACCACTCCAGGCTGTGTGAAAGGGTTTTTCAAAAGTCCTCGTCCTCGTGTCCCCCCACACCCACACGCCTCCCCTCCCCCACACCCACACCCACTGTCTGACTCATGCAGACAGGAATAATGGCTGATAACGGTGAAACAAAACATAGTTTCAGTGCCGTCTGTGATATGAAAGAAGGTTTGCATTTTTTTCCTCTTTCTCTCTCGCCCCTTTTTCTTTTTTTTACAGTCGGGCTTATTGTGAGTGGCTCCATGAGTTGATTGCATGTGGAGGGGTGATGTATTGACCACAGGTAGTCTTTTGATAGCAGCGTGTGTGCACCAGAACACTGAGAAAGACTGAATGGCTGTGGTCTGAGTCCAGCTCACAAAGGTCCCTTGCATTGGCAGTCCATCTCCATTTTTCTTTTGCCAGTGCTGCAGTGCTCTAAAGGCAGCGTGCGAACGCCAAAATGCACTGTTTGGTTTTCGTCCCTACAAATGTTTTACTTGCATGGAGCTTCTTTGTTACGCACATGGCACTGACGCCGCGTACACATAAATTTGTCTGCCGTGTTTCTGGTGTTTGATCCTCTTATTTGCTCTATTGGAGACTCACATCTCAATTTCCCTTTGTAAGATATTCCTTGACATCATTTATACGTGCCTGGCTTTCAGCACAAATGCACTCGGGTTTGTCTGAGTGAGTACATGTACATGCTGCGTCAGGTGCTAGTTTGCTCCAGAATAAATGTTTTTGAGGTAAATTATTTGGAAGGGCTCCTTGCTGGAACATGCAGCCTTTGTGTCTCTAAATCACAGTATTGATTTTTTTTTTAAAGGTAGCAAATAAATGTGCTCAGAAACACAGCGCATAGTATCCCTGTCTCAACCTGATATGTGCCACTGGTTCTCTAAAGATTTAATACATTAAAACAAGCAAGCAACAGCCTCCGCACGTCTCCCCTTCCTTCTCTCTCTCTCTTTTCATCTGGCCACAAACAGGAATCGAACAAAATACACCACGTTCCCTCAAGCCTTCTGTAGCTGGTTATACCTTATAATATTTCACTATGTGCATAAAATGATATGCAGTTGTTTTGTACACCAAGAGGCTCTCATTTCTTCTGCTACTTTTCATTCCCTTCTGACATTCCCAGAATGGTGCTGTGTGGCTGCCCCCCTCTTTTCTTTTTTTCCCTTACAGTGATGGATTTTAATGCATTTCCATGCTCTTATTGATATAGAATGACACTAAATTTGGCGCCAGTCGGCCCCGTCTGAGACTAGCTGGAACGATAGATGTTTATTGGATTAGTCTGTGGACATGCAGAGTTGAAGGCTCTCCTCTTTTAATACTTATGGGCAAATTAACAGTTTTTTTCTGTGTGTGCTATATCTTCAGTCATACATCTTCATGTATTAACACTGCCATTACTCTGTTTTGACAGCTCAATCTCATCTTCCTGGTGATCACAATGTACAAAATGGTGAAGCACTCCACCACCCTGAAACCAGACTCCAGCCGACTGGAGAATATAAAGTAAGTGAAGCGTCATCATATGCAGAACGCCCGCACACTCCTCCCACTTATGAGCAATCTAACACCAGTGCCACTTCCCCCGGAAAAACCACAAAGCCCCTTTTAGTGTTAAGTTGTTGTTTTTTCTCCACCTCTACATGAATTCTTTTGATTATTTATTTATTTTAGGCCCAATTTTAAAATGATTCAAAGAGACTTTACTATTTTCACTGAAATTACTTTTTTTTTTGCATCACCATGTTGTGTATAATCTGTGATGATGACTACACATATTCTGTGACTCATATTTTTCATGCTTTGGTGTTTTACTGCAAACCTGCAGCCACAGAACTGCTCTGGCGTGACACGCATCACTGTAAGGATGCTGCGTAACCGTTCAGCGTCGGCTCTGGCAGGGTGGGGCGCAGCCGAACAGCTACCATGTGTGCTTGAGACTGGAAAATGTCAAAGCTTTTTCATATTTATATAAATATATATAGAGAGAGATGCCAGCTTCTAATCCTAAAAAGAAAAAAAATCTGCCACCATCTCAACACCGCCACACTCCGCCTTTCCTCTTGTAGCCGCTGCTGAGTCACCGCAGCGTGTAGCTCAGCGTTTTCCAAAGCACTAATTACAACTGCTGTTGTTTTTGCACATTGTATGAAGAAAACTGATATAAATATATATTTATTGCTGTTTACTCCAGGGCCTTGTTGGTTACAGTCCTGCAGTCTCATGCCATTTTGCATTATTTACATTATATTAGTTTGTGTTTCAACCTCCACCACGCTGTGCGGGAGCGGCGCTTGCTGCTTTCTTTTTTCCCCCCGTCCAGTGTTTGTTATTCTTCATCTTTGCTTAATGAATGCGTGCAACAACACAGCTCTGTGGTAAAACCGCAATCAGAGAGAACAGTCACAAAAACGCCTCACTTGGTATTCTAGGTCCATTTGAGATGGACTCCTCCCTGTTTAAAGAAACCACAGCAGAAAGCATTCACTGAACTTCAGATTGTTGCGCATTTTGATGTCGGATGTTAGAAATGATTTCTTTCAAGCTTGTTTGTACTGAAATGCACCGTTTGCCTAATCGCTGTTTCCTCTGTGATCATTTGTTTCCTGTTGTCGCTGTTTTTCGTGCCAAAGTTTGATGCTGAAGTCAGACAGTGGTCGCTGCATGTTGCATGTGAAGCCAAAGTTAACGCACACCCTCTCCTTTCTTTTTCTTCTGTCATTCCTCTCTCCTGTCTCTGTTCTGCAATCCACACCAGTAATTATCGCGTTTGTGACGGCTACTATAATACAGATTTGCCTGGGTAAGCTTCTACTACGCACCTCAGATAATTTTACCCACACAACACCACCCACGAGTAAAGGAGCATAAATGCATATTCAGCTACAGACAGCGAATGTTCTACATGTAATTGAATCATCAACAGCAAAATATACAAGTCTCAGTTCTTGTTAGATCCTTTATTTCACTGCCTCCCGTGATTTCCCCTGAATCAAAGTTGACGATATCTTACTCAAATGCCGAATAACCCAAGCTGTTATGCGCTCTAATCTAATTGTGTTTCTCTCTTCCTGCCTGTCATGCTCTCTAGCTATGAAGATAATAAACGGTTTATCAAGTAAGAACATACTGCCCAGAAGTCGTCTCCTCAGCTTCTAGTTTATTCTCTCTATCCCACGTTATTTTTTCGTGCCTTTTTGTTCCTCTTTCTATCATTTCCTTTCACAAACTGCAGCTTCTAAGCTTCTCATCCACTGTCTTTGTGACCGGTCACTGCCACCACGTCCATCATTTTTGATCCAGTTTTGTTGTCGTTGCTGTTGTGTGTTTGATCATCGAACCGTGACCACTGTTGGTGTGCGAAGGCTCCGCAGGACCTTCGCACACGAAGCAGGGAGTTTTCCTTGAACTCTTTCCACGTCTGCGTAGCTTCTCCGGTTCTGGTAGCGCACTCAGTAGATGAATATGATAGTGTTTGTTGCTTTTGTTGAGTTATTTTTAAACATGTCGTGCTGTCTTGTGATAGCGGTTGGTGTGTTTTAATAAATAGAGAGGTATAAAGAGAAAAGCGGGTCAAGCTTTTGCTTGTTTCTTGTCTTGTCTGAGGGCAGAATCTGCACGTGTGAGGATGGAGGGGTGGGGACAGCGGGGAAGGGTTGTGAGGACGTGTGTGTGTGTTTTCTTTTTCATTTTCCTCCCACCTGGTTTTTAGCCTTTTCTACATATTTCATAGTGGAACCGGGTGATTAATATTCCAATCACCGTTCTGTCACAGAACCTCCCTCATGCTGGATTCGTCCTGTGTCTCGTTTGTCGTCCCTCAGATCCTGGGTCATGGGTGCTTTTGCTCTGCTGTGTCTGCTCGGTCTCACCTGGTCTTTTGGGCTCTTCTTCATCAGCGAGGCCTCCATTGTTATGGCGTACCTCTTCACCATATTCAACACCTTCCAAGGAATGTTTATCTTCATTTTCCACTGCCTTCTCCAGAAAAAAGTAAGTAGTCACTCTGCACTGCGTACGGTTTTTCTCTGTCAAGGTGAAAAGCAGAAGGCTTTTGAGCAGTCAAGGCCAAACCTTCAGCTGAATTCACAGATGCTGATATAAAGAACAAACACTGCCTCATTCTGCTTCTTGTAAAGTCATATGTAAAGTCAACATTGTATTTAAACACTTGGCTGTTTGCCTGCGTAGGTCCGCAAAGAGTACAGCAAGTGCTTCCGCCACACGTACTGCTGCGGAGGGCTGCCGACTGAGAGCTCGCACGGTTCTGCGAAGACTTCCACCACACGGACCAGCGCACGCTACTCCTCTGGCACACAGGTACACCGGCACTTTTGCACAGTGAGAGTCTCGCCACGTGCCAGGATAAGATGAGAGCGCGGCGTATCCTGGACTCGTCGTGCAGCTCTGTTACGTTGTTAATAACCCCACTGTTTAAACGACTCCTCAGGAAAATGTACTTTTACTGTGAGCACAGAAAAAAAGCACATTCTGCATCTTAACCTCAGAGGTAGATGAGAAGACACAAACATTATCCCACTTTTTTACAAGCAGCATCTGCTGTACTGCATGAGTACCTTTCTTCTGTTCTGGCCCCTTTAGCTCTTGCTTTTATCCTTTTTCACTAACGCCATGTGCATGGGGAAGAAATACGTATTGCACTGTTTAAAGAGCATTGCAGGCACTTTTTACTACAGGGAGAGCCAAAATTACAAAGAAGAAAACAACAACTTTGTCCTCGCCTTATCCGGTTCTTATTAAAGGCTAATAGACCTTAGCAGACAATACCTCCAGATGTAATGTGCTTACAGAGAAGCATCCCCGTCTCAGTATAACCTCCAGCCTATTGTAAAGAGTCATAACTGGAGCTGAAGTTGTTCAGAAGTTGACTTACATAAAATTAGTTTTTGAAAAACTCATCCAGAGGGATTGAGCAGTTACTACTGCCCTTGCCTCGCTGCAGATTAGTAGGTTTGTTTTATAGTGTGTAGCACGTAGAGGGAAATCGAATGAAAGCTGATCTGAAAGGTGAACGGGCTTGTTTAAAGTCCTAATGGCTGTCCCTTGTTGACCTGACAGAGTCGTATCAGGAGAATGTGGAATGACACCGTAAGAAAGCAATCTGAGTCCTCCTTTATCTCAGGTGACATCAACAGCACCTCCACCCTTAACCAAGGTCAGTTCACACCTCATTTCTCTGCACATGCACACCTATGCACACATTTCATCATCCAGCTAAAAATACCTCCTTCAAGTTCCAATGATCTCACCAACACCGTCTAGGGTCCTACTCTGGTAATCGTAATAAATGATTCAGCTTGAAAAGACAGAGCAGTACGGTTTAAAAAAAAGATTTAGGTCTTTAGTGTGGTCTCCCTGTTCTGCCAGCAAAGGATTACAACAATCCATCCTCAAATACTCTGTGAGCTGTCATTCTGGCCAGTCATGTCAGTCTTAAATTGGGGCAAGGCTGGAAGAACTTTTTTTTAATTTAAGTGCTGGCTGTCCAAAGTTTATACCAAAGCTCAGGGGAAACATGGACAAAACTTAAAAGGCGGGGAAGGGGCAAAGTTTTATTTTCGGAAAATCTTAACATTGCTTTAAAAAGGCGGTTTGTAGCCTGGCATGTAAGGTGACCTCTCTTACTTTACAGTGGGAGGGAGAAAAAAAACTGTCATTTATTATTTAGCTTGAGCACAAATATGATGATGAGAAGATGATGTTCAACTCTGGCTGACCTGGAGTGCTTAGTGTGCTGTTAGGCTTTCTGCTGCTCTCTGAAATGGCTTTCCAAGCATGCGAAGGGAAAGAGGGTTTACACCGAGGTAGCTTAACTCCACTCCCTCCTCTCCCCTCCTCTTGACTCCTGTCTCTGCTTCTCTTTGCGGTCACTTTTTTTAAAATTTTGCTGTCACTTGTCACAAACTACAACATTACACCTAGCGCTTTAAAACACATTTTGGCTTGCTGATACATCAGCATCAAAATAGAAGTCTTTTTGGGGGGCGATCAGTATAATTTCCTGGAGATGTTAATGTAAAGGTTGGATATTGATCACTCTGGGGTGTAGCTGCCTCGTTACCCTGGAGAGACAGTGCACTGAAGGATGGCTCTATCTCCTAGAAGCACTTCCCTGTCATTAAAAACATCCCTGGAGACTTCTCAACATGACAGATGGCATTTAACACAGGTGATAAATGGCAGCCGAAATACCTCAGATCCTTAAAACACACTGCAAGCTGAGGGGGGGGAATGGAAAGAAGATGAGCTTTTGGAAGAAAGTGGCAAAAAATTAAGACTTAATAATAACTTTGACTTGGACGTGTTCGCCTTGGTCTCTTGGAGCACTTATGTTTGGACCTGGCCCAACAGCAAAACCTCTGCACAATAACAGGGTGCTGTTTTTGGGAGGAAAATAATACTAATAACCGAGCTTGACTTAAAAAATGCGAGAAGTGTGAAAAATTGCAGTAATGAGCACAGCTGTTTCAAATGTTAGTTGGTAAATAAATGGGTTATAAATGCTTTTCAACACACGTAATGAACTAAATAACTGAAGAAGGACAGCACAAAGTTGAATATTTTTGCTCCTCAAACTTTTCTCTGTACGATCACTACGTTTCAGATTTCGCGTAAAAAGCGAAGTGACACCACACGCCTCTCTCCACAAACTGCTGCTAATTTCCTTGATCTCTTTTTCTCAATGCTCCTCTTCTGTCCTGCTGCTCCAGGAATGACCGGGAACTATCTACTAACAAATCCTCTCCTGCGACCACAAGGCACTAACAACCCTTATAACACCTTACTGGCTGAGACAGTCGTATGTAACACTCCCACAGCTCCAGTGTTTAATTCACCAGGTGTGCTTACTTGATACTTTCACCTGCATTCTGCCTGTTCTTCTGTCTTTACTTGCTCTCTCTCCCTCTTTTGTATCTCACTTCAGTGTACGGCACGCTAAAAGAAAAGCAGGATGTTCGGCAGTATCACCTTTCCTTCTGAATCACTGTCTCCCAAATGCTTGACACACTACATAGTGAGAG